GTGTTAATTGTTGAGTACGACGTATAGGCATGGTGACGAGTATCTATACATTGGTGTCAAGCATGACCGTGAGTCTTATGCTACGATTAATATGACTTCGTTGTGTACTGTTCATGCCTTATGTGATATTTCTATTGTTGAACAAGGCTTGTGGAAGAAATTTTGGTAATTGAACATTGAAGAGCATTAGCTCAAGTTGTGAAATGAGTTGTGGAATTATTGTTGGCGATTGAACATTATAGAGCATTGGCTCAAGTTGTGAATTGAGTTGTGAAGTAAATGTGAAAAAGAGAGGAGGATTATGATATAGTCTCCCTTGCCGGGACGTTGTTGCTTTTAATGTTATCTCCCTCGCCAAGATGTTGTTGCTTTTGATATTGTTTCCCTTGCCAGGATATGATTGTTGTACTATTGTTCCCTTGCAGGGATTTTATTGTGATTTATTTATTTTCTTGCCCTTATTGTTTGTGATTGTTGTTTTGGTGAGGAAGAGTGTTAAAGCACGAAGGGCGATGTCGTGCATGATATTTGTGAGAGAGTGTTAATGCACGAAGGGTGATGTTGTGCCGCACGATGTACAATTCTGTGCCTTTATATGAGTGATAACGCACGAAGGATCATTCCGTGCCATGATTATGTGAGGTAAAAGCACGAAGGACGATGTCGTGCCGATTATATTGATATTTGGTGAGAACGAGAGTAAAAGCACGAAGGGTGATGTCGTGCGCTTGTCTTGATGTTTCGATTATTGTTGATTTTTGAGTTATAGTGTTCTTTACGATTATTTATTGTTTTCTGTTGTTACTTGATTCCCCCGCAGCATGCCTTCCCCCTTCTTACTTTTAAATTGTAAATTTCTGCCTTTATTTTCCGTTGAATATGATTTAATTGCACAGGATTATTTGGTAGTCTGGTCCTAGCCTTTTCACTACTTCGCCGAGGATAGGCTAGGCACTTACCAGCACATGGGGTCGGTTGTGCTGATACTACACTCTGCACTCTTTTGTGCAGATCCCGGTACTGTAGCTTTCGGACCGCAGTGAGGTTGCTGCTTCCAGTTTATCAGGCGACCCGAGGTAGTCCTGTAGGCGTCCGTGGGCCTTGGCGTCTCCTTCTATCCCTTCATTCTGTTTCTTTTATGTATTTCAGAGACAGCGTTGTATTTTCCTTTCGGACCCTTATTTGTAGTATTCTTAGACAGTCTGTGAAATTGTAACACCAGTTCTGGGTAGTTTATGTTATGGATTGGTATTGGCATCATTATTAAAATATTGCATTTCAGTCTTCCGCTTATTTAATTCCGCTGATTATTTAATGTTGGTTCTTAATTGTTAATGGATTAAAAAGGGAAAAAGATAGATAAGACAAATGGTTGGCTTGCCTAGCTTTCTCTAGTAGGCGCCACCACGACTCCCGAGGGTGGGAAATCCAGGTCGTGACACTCAGCCCCAAACTCCGTCGTCTTTGTTCAAGAACAACCCTAATGTCGTCTCATCGAGAGGACCGCGATTCTGACTCGAAACGCCACTGTTCCTGTTACCATAATACCCTCACGTGCGCTTCAAAAAAACCTATATTCTTTATAATTGAAGCCGCTGGATCCACCGTCAGCAGTCCACAGTCTCGACGGAGTTTACAAGCATCGTGGGCACAAGTAGTTCGCGGCGGCGACGGTAAGGTTGAAGCAGGTACACGGATGTTCCAACACCCTCGTCCTCAGTTGCAAGTGACGCGAAGGCATTTGGTCGAGCATTTTGGTTCTTTTTTTTGGTGAAGTCAACTTTTTTGTAGGTGAATTCCTTGTTGTCACCAAGTTCCAAACTCCTATTTTTCGCTCGTATTAACACCCTTTTGTACCTTCGCTGTGTCCCCAGGTACAAAAATTGCACCTGTCATCGAGGGTGTTGTTCAGCACATAGCATCAAGAAGGTTGGAAATCGGGGGTTTGGATTTGGAAAAGTTACTAGCAGATGAGCTTACTAAATCAAATCCAACAGTGAAACTCAATATTTCTGATGTGGAAAAATTGAAAGAGCGTTATGCATTCTGTGCTGATGATGATATTGCCTATGAGAAGCTTCAACAATCATGCCTGGAAGAGAAACATACTCTGCCGGATGGCCAGGTTTCTTTGCACTACTTTTCAGCTTATAAGGCACCATTGTACAAAGTTGATAGAAAACCAATTCATTGTATTATACATCTCTAATACAATGAAAGAAATCCTCGTTCAATTTCTCTAAAGGAAATTGTAGTGTAGTGGCTCTCTTTAGTGTTGCTTTGCTAGAACAAGCCAATTCATTAAAATTACCGCTTTTCTGATTGTATTGTTCTAGCAAAGGGGTTCAAAACCTCCATTTGTGAATTCTTTCGGTGGCCCATTATGGAATATGGAGTTGAAGACCGATTTGGTTTTAAAAATAGTAGGATTAATGTTAGATATTTTTCTCTGCTTCTCTCTGTGGAACCGAAAAGTAAGTAAATATCTTAGGGAAAGGAGCTAAAGGGCTATGAGCTTTTTGCACTCCACTAAACACTAGACATTAATAGGAGTAAGGGCGTTGTATTTTAGGATCACGGTGTATTGCAGTTTACTGATTTTGATAAAATTTTCTCTAGCCGGCCTTCGTTTATTGTCGTTCTGTCATCCTTATCTTGTAGGTAGAACTGTTGTTGGTGTGAATGGATCTCATTTCATTTTTTGATTTTAGGTAATCACAATTGGAAAAGAAAGATACACAGTTGGTGAGGCATTGTTTCAACCATCTATATTGGGTAATGATACTCATGGAATAGTCGAGCAGCTTGTTCATAGTATTTCGTCTGTGTCGTCTGAAAATCACCGCCAGCTGCTAGAGAACACAGTACTTTGTGGTGGCACTGCTACTATAACCGGTCAGTCTTCATCTCCTTGTTTAGATGAATGTGACTGACGAATGTTCATATTTCTCCGTATTTCTGCGCTTCTGTTTTGTTAGTAGAACTTTTTTGTTTTCCTTGTTTTGTTGGTTTATCTCAAGTAGTTCAATTTGATTGGATGTATTTGAAATGCTGGTTGTATGACATTGAGTCCTTTCCTTGCTCGAATTAATGCGACCGGGAAGTGTAATATTCCCTTTTATTTTCCGTTATTGGTATTTTTTTGGGGGGCAAGCTTTCAATATTTATGTACTGGATACATTTGAGATTGAGTGCACTTAGAAGAGGTCAGATGGGCTGATGTTTAGCTAGTGGACTATAAGTAGCAGTCAGCAGCAATAATTGTTCTTTACAAAATATGGCTTCTCCTTAGGAGAATTACCTTGATCATTTCCTTCATAGAATTGGCTTGTGCTTCATATGCTTGATGGCTACAGCAACTGTTTGACAAGCAAAGAGTAAAACATAAGGTAATCTCAACGTCTCCTTTCTGCCTCTCCTAAATAGGATATTCCTGTAATATTCTCAATGGATGCCTGTATGGTGATGACACATAAAATGTATTGAAATACTGATGAGTATGCTATTGATCAGAGGGACCATTTCTCCCTTTTATTGGTAACATTTTTTCCAAGCTCCAGGACACAAATCCCTTTTTAATCTTACTATCTCCTCTTACCAAACTGGTTTAGGCCTTTACACTGCACATTGTCCCAAATGAAAAGCAGGAAGAGCTGATTGACTTTTTGATGAGTTAGCATTGATAAGTTCCCAAAGGGTTGGCTGAGTGAGTGGTTGAGATATCGGAGTAATAACTTGGAAATGTCCTGGTTCTAATCCCAGCTCCAAGTGTTAAAATTTCCTTCACATCTACTAGTATTATATGCTTGAAATTTCTTCTACCATGTGCACTGGATAACACCATCGAGTTGACTCAGTGTCATGTACTTTACAGAAATTTCTTCGTATTTTGCGACCCAATGTGTGCTCAGCACTTTCATTTGCTTTCTTACTGGAAATCAAGAATTGGTTCATGTCAAAAGTAGATGTTGCTTTATTTTCTTTGTAGCTATGAAAGAGTTTCAAGAGCGAGTTGTTCTCTTCAGCAATTTCTTTTACTATAAAAATAAATTGACTTTGACATAAATATGAACAGATGGTCGGATTTTGAGGTGATTTTGACCCTAGAGAGTTTGCTGAATAGTTTGAGTTCATGGACAGTTACATTTTCAACTACATGAACCACAATGAGATTGTTCATGGCTCTGGTGCCTCTTCTGTACAGGGAGCTCGCTATTTTTTTCCAATATATTGCATGTAGAAATATAAAATATTGGATTTGTATGGCATAGTCGTATTTACGAATGATGTTTTGAGCAGGTTGAAAATTTTGCGATAGTCATATATACAAAGGAAACTCTGCCGAAAAATTTAAGAATTTAGAGAGTTTAAAAATTTTCGAGTTATCAAATTTAAAATTTTTTTCTTGCATTGCGTATTAACTGAATTTGTGCTTGAAGCTGCTTTAAGTACTTTATGACTCAATTATCCTAAAAATTTTGTTTGATTATTTCTCATTGTCTTTTGTAGGTGCAGCAATTGCGGATGAAAACAGTGACGAAGACCTTACTTGAGTGTTGTTGATCGTTGTTAGACTTTCTATTATTATTTTTAAGGATATATTTTAGTTTAGAACTTTCTGTATGCGAACTATCTATTTTGACTTTTGAATTGTCGACCAAACAATGTATCCATATTTTATTTTTATACATGGATAATGCTAGTTGGATATGGTGTAAACCAATTTCATGGAATAGGAAAATATTTCTTATTTTGCTTCCATAAATATTATAATTTGTTGCAATAGAGACTATAACCGTTCCAATAGACCTAGCAAATAATAAGAGCAACCCCTAATAATTGTTCCAATATGTCACAATTCGGTTGCAATAGGGTACTGATAATTGTTCCAATATATCCCAAAAACTGTTGCAATAGGCTTAAAAAAAATCAACTGTATTATTATATCAGAACGGTTTATAACCGTCCCAACAGAAAAGAAAACCGTTCCTATAGATAGGACAATGGTGCAGTCCAAACCCTTACAATATCCCTATCTATGAGGACGGTTTTCAAACCGTTGCAAGTAACCGTTCCAATAGATCTATTGTAACGCCGAATTCCGGAACGCGTCCAAATCCGTCCCAATATACCTATAGGGACGATTAGCCTATCTATTGCAACGGTTTTAGAAGGGTTGCCATAGCTGCAATTTCTAGTAGTGATCCTCCATGTGTTCAGTGGCTTTCTTGGATTTAATGATGACATCATCTACATACACCTCGATCTCCCAGTGTATCATGTCATGGAAAATAGTAGTCATGGCCTTCATGTAGGTGGCCCCAGCATTCTTTAATCCAAACGGCATCATCTTGTAATAATACATTCCCCATAGCGTAATGAAAGCCGTTTTCTCCGCGTCTTCTTCGTCCATCCATATCTGATGATACCCAGCAAAACAATCGACGAATGACTGCAGCTCGTGCTTGGCACAGTTGTCAATCAGGATGTGTATGTTCGGCAAGGGGAAGTCTTCTTTCGGACTAGCCCGATTGAGGTCCCGGTAGTCGACACAGACTCTGACCTTCCCATCCTTTTTTGGCACTGGCACAATGTTGGCTAACCATGTCGGGTACTCCACTACCCTGAGGACCTTGGCTTTGACTTGCTTGGTGACTTCTTCCTTGATTTTCAGACTCATGTCTGGCTTGAACTTTCTGAGCTTCTGCTTTACCGGCGGACACGTCGGATCTGTTGGCAGTTTGTGAGCTACAATAGATGTACTGAGACCGGTCATATCATCATATGACCAGGCAAATATGTCCTCATATTCTTTTAAGAACTCCGTGTACTCTTCCTTTTCCGATGGTGACAGGTGAACACTGATGCGCGTTTCCTTGACATTCTCTGTATTCCCCAGGTTGACGACCTCAGTTTCGTCCAGGTTAGACTTAGGTCTATTCTCAAAGTCTTCGACCTCTTTAATGACCTCTTCTGGTATCTCATCCTCTTCTGAGTCTATATCCGTTTGTTGCGTTATCTCGTCGCATGTCACACTCGTCGGTTCATCAAGATAAGTAATAGTAATGCTGTGTAAAATAAAATAAATGATAGAGAGAAAATAATAAGAGTGAGACTTATAAGAAACTGAAATACTTCGATAAATTCCAAAATCGTTTTGAACATCGGAGCTCTTTTTCAAAATTTTAAAGACAATACTGAAGGGAAATCAACTAGCAAAAAGTAAAAGATAATGCATAGTACTTTGTTCAGCCTTGCTACCCCGAAGCTTTCCGGGCCTTGGTGGTTCTGATGGACCAATTGTTGAGGCGCTCCCCTCGGCTCACGGCTTGTATGGAAGGGCCTTCCTCCCCTTCCTCCTCGAGAATGACGTGACAGTCCATATCGTCATCTTCCAAAAACAGGTTCTTCATTGCGGCCAATGTTTCATCTTCCTCTGACCCATATAAGATGTCTGCTGGCTGGAAAGTCTGCTCCGGGCGGGGTAGGGTGCTCCAGTGGATAATAAGGGCCGCGCCATGGTGGCGACCAATCCTTGAATTCTTCCCAAGTATATTCATACCCTAACCCGAAAGTGGTGCCATGCTTCTTCAGTTTGATACGCTTGGTGATTCCCTGGAGGTTCTTGCCGAGCCCTTTGCCAGGTTCATACCCGCTCCAGTTTAGTATACTCTCTATCTTGTTATCCCACCACTTATCTTTATCTACGGCGTTGACTCGCTCAATCTGGTGGCAGGTTTCTCCTCCTAGTTTCCTTCTTCCTTCAATTGCTGGGATGGTTTGACGACTGTATATGGGGTTACTCCCGTCACCATGAATAATCACCTCTTGGTGATTCCACTCGAACTTCACTGCCTGGTGCAGGGTTGAGGCAACGGCTCCAGCAGCGTGGATCCAAAGTCGTCCCAGTAGTAAGTTGTAGGATGCTAGGATGTCTATTACTTGAAAATCAACATCGAACCAAGTTGGTCCCATTTGCAGACATAAACTAATCTCCCCAATAGTGGACCTTTGGGAACCATCAAAAGCTTTGACGTTGATAGCCCCGTCCTTGATTTCATGCAGACTCTTCCCTAATGTTCTGAGGGTCACCAATGGACAAATGTTGAGGCTGGACCCTCCGTCAATCAAAGTCCTGGTGATGAAATAGTCCTCGCATTGCACAGTGATGTGCAACGCTTTGTTGTGGCCTAAACCTTCAGGGGGCAACTCATCCTCGTGGAAAGTGATCTTATGACTCTCCAATATTTGCCCGACCATGTTTGCCATCTCTCCTCCAGTTATATTGCTGGGTACATACGCCTCGCTCAGTATTTTCATCAGGGCATTCTTGTGTGTCTCGGAGCTTTGCAGTAGAGCTAGAATGGAGATTTGTGCTGGTGTTTTGTTTAATTGGTCGACAACTGAGTATTCTTTTGCCTGTATCTTCCGCCAGAGATCATCGGGCCCAGTTTCAATAAGCCGTCCAGAGGCTTGCTTATTTGATTCAACTAAGTGCTCCGGAGTATAAATTCTGCCGGTCCTGGTCATACCCTGCGCTGCAATTGCTTCTCCAAACCTAGTCTTTCCTTTCCTTCTTGCCTCGGCGGTGTAATCCCAAGGAATGGCCTGTGTATGGAATGGCGTTACGGCTGACATTGCCACAGGAATGGGCACTCTCGTTTTGGGAGGCAACACAACAACTTCGAATGGTGCAGGTGCTTTTGGAGACCCAAACTCCACCTCAATTGGCTCTGCAGTCTTTATGGAGGACGGTGTTTCAAACTCGAGAGGCACAGACATGTTTACTTCAGCATCCCCAGAGGGCTGGATCTGGACTATGATTGGATTTAGTGTGACTGTTGGTTTCTTGGGCTCGTCACCTTCGGCAATTAATCCAATTGACCCTTTGGGGTCCCAATCATCTTCTACTTCGATCATATGCACACCACCACCCTTATGATCAGGCAAAGGATTGTTGCGAACATTAGGAGCAGGTTCCTTGGCCACAATGATTTTGTTGTCAATTAGAGCTTGGATTTTGTCTTTCAGAGATCGGCACTCATCAATGGTATGCCCTTTCATGCTGAAATGGTATGCACAGGTTTTATTTGGATTGACCCATTGGGAAGGATTTTATGGAGTTATGGCAGGGATTAGGGTAACGTAACCGACTGCTTTGAGTCTTTCATATAGTTGGTCGATTGGCTCGGCGATGGCGATGTATTGCTTGAGAGGTCTACGGTCGAAGTTAGGGCGGGGCCTGGGGAAGTTTTGGCGAGCGGGAGGTGATTGGTAGTGAGAAGGCTGAGCATTGTAGGCTTGGTAGACGGGTGCGGGTTGGAAATATCTTGGTGAGGTAGGTTGATATGTGGGGGAGAGGGATGATTGGTAAGTAGGAATTTGGTAAGAGGGCGGAGGTGCTTGGTAATTGGGGATAGGCTGGTATGTCAGAGGGGGTACTGGGTAGGCTTGGTATTTTACTGGGGACTTGGTTCTCTGTGCAACCATCACGCCACTCACGTCCTTTTCTTGGACGCGCCACCAGATTGTAGGGCTTCGTTGGTAGCCTGCAGTGCTTCAAAATTAGTGACCATACCGCTCTTAATGCCTTCCTCAATCCTTTCTCCTAGCTTGATGATATCGGAGAATTTCCCTCTATCAACATTAACCTCTCATAATACTGCGGATCTTGAACCCGGACAAAAAATCGGTTCATCTGTTCTTCCTCTAAGGCCGGCCTGACCTTAGCAGCCTCGGATCTCCATCGAGTAGCATACTCGCGGAATGTCTCAGTGGGTTTCTTTTTCAAATTCTGGATGTAGAAGATATCTGGTGCATTTTCTGTATTGAACCTGAACCTGTCCATGAAATCGGACGCCATTCCAACCGAGCTCATCCACTTCTTGGGATCTTGGCAAATGTAACAAGATAGCGCATCGCCTTTCAAACTTCTCATGAAGAGTTTCATGCGAATCTTTTCATCTCTTCCTACACCGACCAGCTTATCACAGTATGTCCTCAGATGGACTCTGGGATCCCCCGAGCCGTCAAACATTTCGAACTTGGGAGGTTTGTACCCCTCGAGAAATTCGACGTCTGGCTGAATGCAAAGATCCTCATAATTCAGCCCTTCAATGCCTTTGTTTCTTTCAACGCCCTGGACTCGGCTAGTTAATTTCTTGAGCTCGGCTGCCAGGTTTTTGATGAGAGAGTCTTTGTCATCAGACTCTGGTGTGTTTGTAATGGGTTGAGTGTATTGTGGTAGCGTTTCCACATAGATGGGAGCGTGGTGGGGATAATCATTCGATGGTTCAGGGATGAGGGGTGGAGTGTTGTTGTGGCATGTGTTGCAATTTTGATGGGTAGCGGGTTGTTTCTGCGGCTTCGGGATGTTCTGTGGAGTCATGGGGTGTTGAAAGTTGATGTCGGGAGTAGTGAGGGAGAATGACAGACTCGCCAAGTTCCAAACTTGGTCTAGTTCTTCTTGAAATTCCCTTAACTTCTGTTCGAGCGGAGCGGCACTTTCTTTGGATACCTGAATACCCTGAGGAACCTCTACCCTTTCAACCAAATTCTCCTTTCTGGCGTTGTTCAAATCTTCCATTTTTGCTTTGCCCCTGTTTTTGATAGGACTTGGAGGAGGAGGAGGTGGAGGGCCCTTAGATCTTGTGGAGTAGGATGACGATGCCAGAATGCACGAACTAACCTTTTGGGGAGGGGAATAAAACAAAAGTAAA